GCTTTAGGAATGTGGCCATTTGTCTAGTGGCAGCAAAAACATGTTTAAATCATACAGAAAAATAAGCCATGATAAAGTAAATGCCCTGAAGTCTACTCCAGCAAAAGCATGTGTATGTCATAGACCTTCCTGGTGACTAAGTAACATCTTTCTGAAGCAGTCCTGTTAATTCAGTCAGCAGCACTAGGGATAAGATCTCTTTTAAGACCTCGCGTCTGCTGGGGTTGGCACATGAGTGGCTGGCGGCTAACTCCACAGAGGTGCTTTTGTGTTCTTGTTCTTCCCCCTTCCTCCCCCGCTTTTGTGGGATAACTCCTGGTATTGCTTCACTTTTCTGTTAGTGAGCACTTTCCCCATCAATACTACTGAACAGGTGTTACTCTGCTACTAACTGAGTTTCCAGCTGTCCTCCTCCAACACAGACCATGCAAAATTTGTTGTTTCGTCCTATTAGACAGACTAGAGAATTATCAAGCCTGAGATGGAGGTCTTCCTTGCAGGATATGATAGTTTTGTTGCCAGAAGATGGTCAGAAAGGCCTGGCTGGCTAACAAAGACAGTCCTTCAGCTGCTGGGTGTAGTTCCAGTTTTGCATCCCCTTTGGCAGCAGCACAGAGACTGCTGCAGTGTGGCCAGCCAGCAGAATTAGGAAATAAGGACCTCTTTTATTTACTCAGGCTGCTGAATCATGGGCATTCCTGTCTGCTTGGAGAAAAGTCAGGCAGCTCTACTTTCCACTGGAAGTCTCAGGAGTGCTTGGTACTTTCATCTCAGAGTGTTCACACACTTGTTTTAATGTGCTTTATGGAAATGGTGAAACTCAGCAAGTACAGTTGGTGTAGAAAAACATCTGCACTAACTATTCACACACATTTGCATCTTTAAATAGACTTTTAGGCCTTGTAGCTGATTTTCAGTGAAGTTTTTTGGTTGTGAGTGCTAAAGCTTTCTTAGAGTCAGCGAGTGTGAAGTGACTGGTTCCAAAAATTAAAAATTTAAATGGACATGTTAAGTGCATCACACTGAAACTCAGAATACTTGCCATAACACAAAAAAGGCATTTACAGTAAGTAGCACTTAGTGAGTGCTGAAGGAAAAAAAAAGTCAATACAGAAAATATATTTTAAAACTCCATAAACACTCTGTCAAGTACCTGGAGCTCCATTCTGCCCTCAGATAGATGTGTACCACTCCTGGGAACTTGTATGTGTGCATCTGAGTTTGGTCCAGAGTATTTTAAAACAGCTTGTTATAACATTAAAGATCAGATTTGTAATGTTGACATATAGCTCAGTGTGTAGGTGTCTGCAGATTTATATACAGGCAGCTATGTGCAGAGTAGCAGCAAACTGCATTTTCTATGAGAGTGATGGGTGAAAAGGGGTTTGAAGCCCTTTACCCCGACAGCAGGTCAAACTCTACCGCCCGTGCAGAGCTGGCTCTGTAGTGAGATCTACTGTGAAAGCTGGAGTGGAGTCTGCATCCCAAGGCTCTCTGCAAAGACCTTAAGTTCAGCTCCTCCATCACAGTTTTGAGGGACAAGGCCTGCTCACCTTGTGCCTGTGCACGTGGAGTCGCCTCAGTGTAGAGCAGTAAGTCACACTTTGCTGCCATTCTGAGGGAGACTTTCTTAATGGTTGCACCTTAATTTTATAGGGCAGCATGCTTGCGGGGAAGGGTGGGAGATAGCAGGACAGGCACTGCCATCACTCCAGTTCTGCTGTAGCAGTAATTACCCTTAGTCCAGTAGTTACCCCAGTTGCTGTCCCCAGATCCATTCCTACCCACACCCTGAGCTCTACTGGCACATTAGTCCATTGCACACAATGTTCCCAGGGTTCAGGTTGGAGTCTGCACAGCAAAAGTCACTGCAGTGAAACATTCTCCTTGTGGCAGAAGGACAGTTCCAAAAGCCTTTCTGTGGGTCACTGAAAGCTGATGGGCTTGGCCTTTGGAGCCCTTTGTGTGAGGACAGCCCAGGGTCCCTCCTTCCAGGCATGGCCCCGTCCACACAGGCTGTCCCCTGCCCCGCCATGCCAGGGGCTGGCGGGGAGTCAGGAAAGCATGTTGGTGACATTGTTAGGCTTGTACTCAGGAAAATCCTGTTGTCCTCCGCCTTGTGGAATTCCCCCTGCCTTGCTGGTTCTTCCGGAGCTCTGAGAGATTGAAAGATTTTCACTTCTCAAGTTAAAAGGACACAAATCTGACTTGTGTCTTGCTTTTCTCCCTTTTGCACAAAGAGAACTGCTCTGTAGAATTAGTGTGGGCTCTGATTAAAAAATGCAGCGGCAAAGTGGTACACATTTCCATTTGCTGGCTGGAAAGCCAGAACTGTCTCTGTGCTATAGTTACATTCTTCCCCCTTCGCTTTCCTTACCCTTGTGAAAAAGCTGAGGAGAATCCCAGGCAAACAAGAAGAATTGGGTGGGGGAAAGGGGCTGCCATTGCTTATGCCATGGTCATATTCCATACTTGATCCTGACCCTGCTGCCAGCATGACAGCCTGCTGGGATCCACGAGCCAGGGGGAATAGTTGTATAATAGGTTAAACCAGGCAGGCAGTGGCCACAAAAAGGAAGTGATTTACTGCTATGTCAGTGATGGTACACTATTTATAACACTTACTATATATTCCTCTAAACTTTTATACAATAATATATCATTTCTCCATAGGATATACATTTTAATACTAAATTTGGTTACGAAATATGTTGCCTAGGCAGTCACAGACTATTTTTCTTCACTTGGTTGCTTGACATAAATTCCTGTTTATATGCCATCAGTGGGTGTATGTCAGAAATATATTGGATTTTTAAAGAACAAAAGGTTTTCCCATTTAAAAGACCTAGCTGGAAAGATGCATTTAATATAAAATTTAGAAGTGGAGAAAATGTTAACATATTTTTCTGTAAATGCTTGTTCCACTGTTTTGATAATTTCCAGTTTTAGAGTCAAATCCAGCAATTTGAAAGGGCAATACACAGATTTACATTAAAAGTCTCCTGTGAATATTGCAGTCATTAATGCAGTCATATCTTAAAAACTCACCTGACTGGTTTTATTTAGTATGTATGACAATGAGGAACTTTGCACATTGGGAAGCATTTTAGAAGATGATACTACTTTTGCTGGGAGGGAGGATTTTTATGTTTCCTTTTTTTTTGATAAACAGCATTGGTTTTGGTTCAGAAACATGGCACTCAGGCCAGGGGTTGATTTTGTTATTTAAATACAGTGCAGATTTGTATGTATGTAATTACAGATGTATAGTGTGTGTGTGTATATGTGTGCAAAAGGTGTGTTTAATTTGTGAAACCCTCTTCTCCAAGATGCAAACAAGAGGATAAAAACCCATGCAGTTTCCAAGTTATCCTGAAAAGCATTGTGTCAATGGGCAGGCATCCAGCAATGGTGTTTGGTTGTTTTCTCAGAGTTAGATGGCTGCCATCTGGCATTGATAGTGAGATGGCGTTGTCATCAGTTTCTAGATGCAGGAAAGGAATGAATCCTCATCTGTTTCCTGTGGATAAGCAAGAGGTTGATAATCTAGTGAAATCTCTTTACCTTATAGTAAGCAGGCTTGGAATTTGTTTATATAATATAGGCCAGCTCTAACTTTTGTAGTGTAGTAAATTGCTTGAGAGAAGGCTGAGGATGTTAGGAAACTGTCTTCTTTGCAAAAATACCTTTAGAAAGATATTTTTCATGGGGTTTATTGTATCTTTTTTCTATAGTGTTATTGTAGTCAGTTTTACTTTTAAAATGAAAAAAACCCTCAAGCATTGCCCCTGGAAAGGAATAGAAGAATTATTTGAGGTAGAGTGATCTTTCAAACATTCTTTTAATATTTTAAAAGAAGTTTTAGGCTAATATCAATATGATCATTGAAGTATAGTTATCTACATTTAAAACAAAAGGTTCAAAAACTGTACAGCACATTTCTTGAAAAAAATATTTACAACTTGCCCTGTTTAGAGATGAGGTAATGCCATAGATAACTAGTCTGTTTATTATCTGGCCAGCATTTCTGCTTTGTCTTTTCCTGGTAACTCATAAATCTTTCAGCTTTTACCATAAATGTTTATCATTTTTCCTGTTTCCAGTTTTTTACAAGTTGCTTTGTCTGTGATCATCTCACAGTACAGGTTCTGCTGTACTGAGGAAGTTCAGCTGGCTGAGGCCTTTGCAAAAAAGGAAGAAATGGTGGGCAACCTCTTGAACTTAAAAAAAAAAATGCTGTTCATGGCTGACCCTTGTGACACTTTCCCATTTTCCTTGATCCTGGTTGTTGGTTTGTTAGATTGTTTTGAACATTTAATGATCCAGCTGCCAGCTTTCAGTAACTGAATTGTATCATTATTGGAGAAATCTGGTTGCACTTTATTAGAGAAAACATCACTGTTTATATTGTTGTCCTGTTCCTCCCTTGTAATTTTTCCTATTATTGTTTAGAATAACACCCAAGTCTGTCTCAGAAACAGCCTTTAAAGATTCCTGTGTTCAGAATCATTTTCAAAGGAAAAAATACCACAAACCTGCGGCAAACAGGGCAAATCTTTTCAGTAAATATTGGGCATGTGAGTTGACTGTGTTCATTTTAAAGCATGCCTTTAATATTTTCTTTTCCTTTGACTCTTCAGATGCTCACATAATATGCAAATAATTTTACAGTGGATACAAAAGAAACATTAAATATATTAAAATCTGCATTTTAATAAAATTGTCAATGTATAATACATATCCTGCAACGGAGGAAGAATGATAAAAAAGCAATAAAAAGTTAATATAGGCACAGAACTATTTAATAACTTCTAATGTTTTACAGTATGATAAAAATAAATGTGGTCTTGAAACTGTTGATATCACTGTAAGAAATGTTCTAGTCTGAGTTTAATGTTTTAGCTATTTAGGAGTAGCAGTCCTGTGTTATTCATATGCATTTTCTAGCTCCTTTTTACTCTTGAGACTAAGCTTGTGGGCATGTTTCTTTCTCATTTCAGACGGAGTGGATGTTGAGGATGACCCCTCCTGCTCATGGCCAGCATCATCTCCTTCTAGCAAGGATCAGACTTCCCCGAGCCATGGAGAAGGCTGTGATTTTGGAGAAGAGGAAGGAGGCCCAGGTTTGCCCTATCCATGCCAGTTCTGTGACAAGTCGTTCAGCCGCCTCAGCTACTTAAAGCACCACGAGCAAAGTCACAGTGACAAGCTCCCTTTCAAATGCACATATTGCAGCCGTCTCTTCAAACACAAACGGAGCAGGGACCGCCACATAAAGCTTCATACGGGAGACAAGAAGTATCACTGCAGTGAGTGTGATGCGGCGTTCTCAAGGAGTGATCATCTTAAAATTCACTTAAAGACTCATACGTCCAACAAGCCATATAAGTGTGCCATTTGTAGACGTGGGTTCCTGTCATCTAGTTCACTGCATGGACACATGCAGGTTCACGAGAGGAACAAAGATGGCTCCCAGTCCGCTTCCCGGATGGAGGACTGGAAAATGAAAGACACTCAGAAATGCAGTCAGTGTGAAGAAGGCTTTGATTTTCCTGAAGATCTTCAGAAGCACATTGCAGAATGTCACCCTGAGTGTTCGCCTAATGAAGACCGATCTGCTCTTCAGTGTGTTTACTGTCATGAACTCTTTGTAGAGGAAACATCCCTAGTAAATCACATGGAGCAGGCTCATAATGGTGAGAAGAAGAATTCATGCAGCATTTGCTCTGAGAACTTTCACACTGTGGAGGAGCTGTACAGCCACATGGACAGTCACCAGCAGCCAGAGTCATGCAACCACAGCAACAGCCCATCTTTGGTAACTGTGGGGTACACATCAGTCTCTAGCACTACCCCAGATTCAAATCTTTCAGTGGATAGCTCAACAATGGTGGAAACAGCTCCTCCTATACCAAAAGGTCGTGGAAGGAAGCGAGCAGCTCAGCAAGTGCCAGATATCACTGGTCCTTCAAGTAAGCAGGCAAAAGTTACTTATAGCTGCATTTACTGCAACAAACAGTTGTTTTCCAGCCTTGCAGTTTTGCAGATACACCTGAAAACTATGCATTTAGATAAACCTGAACAAGCCCATATCTGTCAGTATTGTTTGGAGGTATTGCCATCTCTGTACAATCTGAATGAACATCTTAAGCAAGTCCATGAAGCTCCAGACCCAGCACTGATTGTTTCTACCATGCCTGCCATGGTCTACCAGTGCAACTTCTGCTCTGAAGTGTTCAATGACCTCAACACCCTTCAGGAACACATCCGATGTTCTCATGGATTTGCCAATCCTGCTGCTAAGGACAGTAATGCTTTCTTTTGTCCCCATTGCTACATGGGATTTCTTACAGATTCTTCCCTGGAAGAGCATATTAGACAAGTCCATTGTGATCTTAGCAGTTCCCGTTTTGGTTCTCCTGTGCTTGGAACCCCAAAAGATCCAGTGGTGGAAGTGTATTCTTGTTCTTACTGTACCAATTCTCCAATATTTAATAGTGTTCTTAAACTGAACAAGCATATCAAGGAGAACCATAAGAACATTCCTTTGGCGCTGAATTATATCCACAATGGGAAAAAGTCCAGAGCCATGAGTCCATTATCTCCTGTAACCATTGAGCAGACCTCTTTAAAGATGATGCAGGCAGTTGGAGGTGCTCCTGCTCGTCCTGCTGGGGAATATATTTGTAATCAGTGTGGTGCTAAGTATACTTCCTTGGATGGTTTTCAGACTCATTTGAAAACACATCTTGACACTGTCCTGCCAAAACTGACCTGCCCTCAGTGCAACAAGGAATTTCCAAATCAGGAGTCACTGCTGAAGCACGTTACCATTCATTTCATGATCACCTCAACCTACTACATCTGTGAAAGCTGTGACAAGCAGTTTACTTCTGTGGATGACTTGCAGAAACACCTACTGGACATGCATACATTTGTGTTCTTCCGCTGCACCTTGTGCCAAGAGGTTTTTGACTCCAAAGTCTCCATTCAGCTGCACTTGGCTGTGAAGCACAGCAATGAGAAGAAGGTATACAGATGTACATCTTGCAACTGGGATTTCCGCAACGAGACCGACCTGCAGCTTCATGTAAAACACAACCACCTGGAGAACCAAGGCAAAGTACACAAGTGCATCTTCTGTGGTGAATCCTTTGGTACAGAGGTGGAGCTGCAATGTCACATCACTACGCACAGCAAGAAGTACAACTGCAAGTTCTGCAGCAAAGCTTTCCATGCTATCATCTTGCTGGAAAAGCACTTGAGGGAAAAACATTGTGTTTTTGAAACGAAAACCCCAAACTGTGGAACGAATGGGGCATCTGAACAAGTTCAGAAAGAGGAAGTGGAACTCCAGACCTTGTTGACAAATAGCCAGGAGTCCCATAACAGCCACGATGGCAGTGAAGAAGATGTGGACACATCTGAGCCTATGTATGGCTGTGACATTTGTGGAGCAGCTTACACCATGGAGACTCTCTTGCAGAATCACCAGCTGCGAGACCACAACATTCGACCTGGAGAAAGTGCCATAGTGAAGAAAAAGGCTGAACTCATTAAAGGGAATTACAAGTGTAATGTGTGTTCTCGAACATTCTTCTCTGAAAATGGGCTTCGAGAGCACATGCAGACACACTTGGGACCAGTGAAACACTATATGTGCCCAATCTGTGGTGAGCGGTTTCCATCTCTTCTGACTCTTACTGAACATAAGGTCACACATAGTAAGAGCCTGGACACTGGAAACTGCAGGATTTGCAAGATGCCACTCCAAAGTGAGGAGGAATTTTTAGAGCATTGCCAAATGCACCCTGACCTGAGGAACTCCTTGACAGGGTTCCGCTGTGTGGTGTGCATGCAGACAGTGACCTCCACGCTGGAACTGAAAATCCATGGCACATTCCATATGCAGAAAACTGGAAATGGTTCTGCTGTGCAGTCCACAGGACGTGCACAGCATCTCCAGAAACTGTACAAGTGTGCGTCTTGCCTGAAAGAATTCCGTTCGAAACAGGATTTAGTGAAACTTGACATCAACGGTCTGCCATATGGTCTGTGTGCTAGCTGTGTTAATCTCAGTAAAAGTGGTAGTCCAAGTGTCAACATCCCTTCAAGCAGTAACAGACAAGGAATGGGCCAAAATGAGAACTTGAGTTCCATTGAGAACAAAAGCAAGGCAGGGGGACTGAAGACTCGCTGTTCTAGTTGCAATGTAAAATTTGAATCAGAAACTGAACTCCAAAATCATATTCAGTCAATCCACAGAGAGCTTGTTCCAGACAGCAACAGTACACAGCTGAAAACACCACAAGTATCTCCAATGCCTAGAATCAGCCCCTCACAAACTGAAGAGGTAACCCTTTTTTCTTTGCTCTTGACACCTTCCATCCTTTTGGAAAAAATCTCCCTTTTTTCAAGCTGTCTTGTCACTTGTCATGAAATGCTTAGGCTGATCCATGTTACATTTCCATCCACAGCCATTAGTTAGTAATTACCTTCTTCCTGATATGCCTTTCATCTTGGATTGAATTTTGCAGAATAGGACTTATTCCAGTCTCCCTAGGATATTGTCTTGTGTATCACTGAGGATACCTATCTTCATGCCAGCACAACTGAGATCTGGAATCTTATCCCAGCTCCCATACGCATTGGAATCCCCAGCTAGGAGTTGTGCTTACGGCACAGAGCATTAATGACAGAGAAGTAGACATAGTGAGCCAAAATGCTGGCATAAGGGGTTGATATTTTAGAAAATATTTGTGACTAACAAATTGAGGGTATTTTTGTTAATTGTGTTGTAGACTTTCATATTCCCCTCTTCGAGCATATTTTGATTAAGTAGAAGAGCAAGCTAGCCTAAGGTAAATTGGGAAATCAGTCCTTTAGATGCAACTGCTTGTCTTTTTTCTTTCCATTTCTGATGAAGAACATTTTGATGTCACTGAAACACCTAGTACCTGATGATTGAAATTCCATCATGCAGCATAACTTAAAAAGTACATATCAAACTCTTGAAAGATGTAATCAGCTTCCTCAGTCACCAGTGACCAAGTAATGAAACCTGTATGTGGGGAGGTAAGGGGGTTGTGTACTGAGGGAAGGGAATCAGTTTTATCTTCAGAAATGTTACTATTATATTGACTTAGAGGTAATATTTTAAGCATGGTATCTTGCATCTTATAATTCAGGAAGGCTAAAAACACAGCACAAGAAAATTTTAAGAAATAACAGCTTTTGTTTCAAGAAAGCTTTTAGTCTGTAATGATACAAGCATGGTGCAGCCCATTGCTATGAATGTGTATGGATACCCTGTGGCTAGGGAGCTGCTGCTCTTCCATCACCTTCCTCACTCCCTGTTTGTGAGCCCATCTGTTGGGAAAAACATCTCTCAGCATGTTGTCCAACAGTGTTGTGCAAACTGGAGGGCAGGAGGGAGGCAGAGAGGGAATAGTGAGGATACACCAGCATATGTGGATCAACAGTGTAAGTATTTATGGAGCTTCTGAGAATGTAGATGAAGATAGGCTGTGAGAAGAACACTGAGGTAGCACAGAGCCTGGAGTGTCATGAAGAGAGAACTGGAGCTGAGAGTTCAGGATGAAGTACCAGGCAGGCTGCACCTCCCAGGGAAAGGCCCCGTGTTTTCATAACTTTATCTCCGGTTTGCTCACTGGGTGGTGGTAGGGGACACCTGAGGATGGGGTGTGGTGTGGAATTTATGGAAGGCTGTTAGACTAAGAACCTGAGGTCTAAGGAAAACCATCTTTTTAAAGAAGAGGGAAGAGGAGTGGCTCTCATTAGCTGTGTTTTAGGCCACTGATGACCTCACTGCTGCTGAGTGAGATTACCCAGGATTACCTGTTTTTGAAAGGTTCAGTCATCCTGGTTTCTGTTTCTGCCATCTTGCATCAAGTGACTACATGAAATCCCTCTTCCCAATCATGTTGGAAGCCAATTCCTGCTACCTCAAGCACAATCAGAATCATTTGTTAAGTCAGTTACCATGCTGTTACCAATTTGTCTTTCTCTTGCTTGTAAACTAGACAAAAAGAGATTTGAGAGTCCATTGTGATGATGTAAGATCAGTTACCTTCAGTGTCGTTAGTGAATCTTCCTGTACTTGGATCAGATATAATCAGAGTTCTTAGTTATACTGCTAATTGGCATCATGTTCCTCTTCTTAATCCTTTTGATTTTTATATAAAAGTGTATCTAAGATGAAAAAAGTTTTTAAACTACACATTTTTGAATAGCATTTGTCTCCTTCAAATCACCATTTACCCCCCACCTCCATTCTGAGGATGTAAACTGAATTTTCAGTGTCTATAGTTCTGGTGTCCACATAGTAATGTAGACTTTCAGATTCTTTTCTCATAGGAACCAAGGCTATCAAATTCCTGATAGAGCATTAGTAGTTCTGGAAAACATAAATGCACATTTATAAAATCCTGAAAGATAATTCATTTTCCTAGCAGACATTACTGGTTCAAATTCTAGTGATGCAAGCTGTGTAGCAGTGAGAAACAAAATTGAAGCACAAACAATAAAAAGAAAAAGTGATTTTTAAAATTTATTATTAGTCACTGGCTGTCATAATCCACTGGAAGGATGTTTCTTGAACTGAAGAGCAGTATTAATAATATAAAGGAGGGAAAGTTTCATTTGCGTTATTGAGAGTCATGTGATTTGAGATTTCAACCTATATATAAAGAGTATTTATATATATTAACTTATATATAAAGAGTATTTCACTCATAAGGCAAGAAAAATAATATCTTGCATATATGAAATGAGTTGTCAGATCATTAATACTGCTGAATACCTCTTTTTACTCAGTAAGAGATTTCAATGATAAGAATATTTGAAAATACCTTTTTAGGATAAAAGATCACACTGGAAGTGTCACTTCTAGCTTCTTTGCTGAGTATTCTCATGGTTGAACTAGAAAATTTCCCTTTTTAGTCTGTTCCCAGTGATATGATAGGGTGCAATTACCTTACCACAGTTTAATGTCTTCAGCTGAGCTGTCACCTGCTGAGCTTACCCCACTTACTGTGTGAAAAATGTTGACCTGAATAATCTCCGCTGAAAGTTACCTTCTGACTGGGATGGAAAATTATGACTAGTGCTCATCATTGGTTGCAACGAGTCAAGGAGCAGGTCAGAACTCATTAAGTCCATCACACTTCTGAATCTAGTACCCCTAAGTTATCACACAGACTTAAACAGGCAGATGAACAGCAGCTTTTGAAAGAGCTCTAAAATGTGTAGATCTTCAAGTTAAACTTTGAGCTTTAATGAGGTGCTGTATTCAGCTGGTTTTAGATTTCTTGTAAAGATCTTTAATCGGACTGCAAGCACACTTTTAGGCTAGGGTGATAACCTTAGTGATAGTTACTGTCTAAAAGCAGAGAACAAGGTCTGGTATGCTGGTGAATTGGGAACTAGACCTTTTTCTGTCACTCACTTGCTTTGCTGACTTGGCCAAAACTGCTTGAACATCTCTGCTTCGTTTTCGTTATTCAAAATATAAGATAGATATTTCGTGAAAAGAATGTTTCCATGTTTACTTACAATGCACATTTTGTAAAGCACTTGAAAGATGAAAATCTATTCAAGAAAATCTGTATGGCCCTGATTCTCTTGTTCCTCCTTAATATGCTGTCAGGCACCTAATGAGAGAACTCTTGACTCAGCAGAAAGTGTGCTCTCACTTCTTAAGCTTCAAGACTCTGTACTTGCTGAATTACACCAGCAGAACAGTGCAATAAATTACATTGTCTGTTTCTTAGCTGGCAGGGGAGGAGGGAATGGACTCCAGCTTACACCAACAGCTTAATATCTGAATTATGGTAGAGCATCCGTATGTGCAACTGCACTCAGTTTGGGGTCCTGTTGGTAACTTTCAGAGTAGAAGTATAATTGCTTCTGTATCACTTTGTACCATGAATATGAAGCTCGTGTGAATACTGTATTACCTGTGGCAACGCAGACAGTCCTTCATTAATAATACAAGAATGCTCTAGGTTTTCTGGTCTTGAGGAGAGAAGGAGCAGCATGAGTACACGGCCAAATTACTTCAGGAGTGAAGATGCTTATTTAGGTGTGGCAAAAGATTTGCAGAAACTTACTGTTTCAGAGAGTATTAAAAATGCTGAACAAAGGCAAGAGCTCGCAACTGTCACAGAAGCTGGAGAGCACAATAAGTGAATCTGGGGCTGCTCTTCTGTCCTGTTGTGGTTGTGCAGAGCTGTATGCCAGGATGGGCATGTCACAGCAGGGGACACCGGGCACATCACAGCATTGTTCTCCAAGGAGCCACAAAAGTGCAGTCTGACAATGAGCTTGCAGAGATGGGGGGTCACAAAATTCAGATACTGTAGAGAGCTGTTGGATCCTTGAAACTCAACTTCTCCAACCTCAGATGAATCCAGAAATGGTATCACCCTGGGAGAACGAACGGAACTCAGGTAGGTGTACTCTTTTATCATTACTTTTTTTTTTCCTCTTTATTTATTCATGGGCTCTGAATCTACCTTTATTCTCTTACTGTTCTTTCCTCTACTTCTCAAAACACTGCCAGACCCAAAAAGACAGAAAACAGGACCTGCCTTTTGAAGTAGCTGGTTTATTTCAACAGCATGCACTGGCAGTCAGAGGCAGAAAGAAGAGGGAAAAGACTGTAAGCAACCCAGAAATGTTCCCAGATGCATGCTTTTGGCAGGGCAAGCAATAGCATTTTAGCAATATAAATCACAGTACTTTTAACTGAAAAAATGCACTGAAATCTATACTCACGCATTTAATTGAAATACATAAAGAAATTAAAATAATCCTCCTCATCAGCAATCCAAGCTGATCATTCTGACTACAGGATTTTTATGAATAAGCACATAAACTTGTAATGTAAACATAAGTAGTGCCTTGGGTTTCCTGTCAGTGAATCCAGGCCCAGAACAAGTGATTTTCATGCTGTATTTGGATCCAGGAACAGAAAAAGGTAAAGAAGGTTTGTTGCTGGCACAAAGATTTGGCTTTGAAATAGTTTGTGGAACTAATCTGCAACAAACATATTTTCTGCTTCCGGAGTTTCAAAATTATTTCAAAATACCAGTTTTGTCTTCTGGGTCATTTTAACACTGCTTTCAGGAAAGTATTATTTAAAGTGTGACCATATCTATTCTTAGGAAGGGCCAGCCTGGGATTTTTTTGCCACAGTAAGCCACCTCCACTTTGCACTATGCTTTGAATTCTGGTAGTGCCACTACCATGAATTGTCTGATAAGGTCCAGCTTAAGCATTTCTCTTCTCTTTGTCTTAACACTTTTGATGGTGAGCTATCAGGATCCTCTT